AGTGCACATGACATACATGCATATTTAGTAATTATATACAATGAGGGTAGGTGTCAGAGTGCACATGACATACATGCATATTTAGTAATTATATACAATGAGGGTAGGTGTCAGAGTGCATATGACACAGACATATATCATTTTTACACTCTGGCATTATTATACTGCAGATTCAGGGTGTGGTGCTGTTGTCGCGTCCCCAGCGCTGGGGGTTTGGATCCAACCCCCACCCCTATGTGTGTGGGGTCTGCATGGCCTCCCTGTGCTGCACAGCTTTGTTTAGGTGAACTGCTGCCTCTGAATAAGCTCTAGTGCGTATATGTGTGACCCTGCGATGGGCCGGCGTCCCGTTCGGCGTGTCCCCAGCCCCGTGTCCTGCGATGGGCCGGCGTCCCGTTCGGCGTGTCCCCAGCCCCGTGTCCTGCGATGGGCCGGCGCCCCGTTCAGCGTGTCCCCAGCCCCGTGTCCTGCGATGGGCCGGCGCCCCGTTCAGCGTGTCCCCAGCCCTGTGTCTCGGCGTCCCGTTCAGCGCATCCCCAGCTCCGTGTCCTGCGATGGGCCGGCGTCCCGTTCAGTGTGTCCCCAGCCCCGTGTCCTGCGATGGGCCGGCGTCCCGTTCAGTGTCCCCAGCCCTGTGTCCTGCGATGGGCCGGCGTCCCGTTCAGTGTCCCCAGCCCCGTGTCCTGTCCCTACCTGGGAGAGGCTCCAGGCCCCCGCAACCCTCTGCTGGATTAGTACTTGGAGGATTAATGGATCCATAGATGCAATTGTCAAACCTCATATAATTTTTTGTATTATTTTATTAATGCAAAGAAAAACTGCTGTTAAACATTCACATACATTTACTTAGCAGATGTTTTGGTCAGAAAATGACGTACAAGTGAGGCAGTGCATCACAAACACACAGTTAAAGGAATCAACTAGGTTTAAATACAGCCAGGCTGAGCTTCTAGTTACTCCTCACACCTGTTACTGAGTATTATCACAGCAAGAGCTATTCAATTTCAAACAAAAAGAACCTAACAGGACTATTCAGACATTATGATCATTGTCTGTGGTTGTGTTGTCTTGAAAAAGATCATTATTTCTGGAGGGAAAACAGGAAGGTAAATGGAAACACAAGAACATTTAGAACTGAATGCCTTTAGAGTCACTGTACAGGGAGCAAGTGCGATGAAATGTCTGTGTAAATCACATCATCCTCTTCTGAGACACACAGACAAGCCAGAACAAGGCTGGGGGTCGGAGCACAAGGTCAGGCATTGATCCAGCACCCATGGAACAGTTGGGGCTTCAGGCCCAAATTTCGATGACTACTCTACCAACTACAGGTTCTGAACCAACAACCTTCTGATCACGGAGATCTAACTCGCAGAGTCACACACCATGCCAGTAAAATTTATGCTGCTAACATAAGAATTCTCTTAAACTCTCATTACAATAAACTTCTGATTATTACTACATGTTTAGATAAAAAAAAAATGCTGTGTTCAAACCCAACAAATTCAAACCCAAAAGTGGTGAATAATGTACTAGACACAGCAAGAGCTCTGTTTTTCAATATAAGTACAAAAAAGATGGTAGTCTTTTTTATTTTGTGGTTGGACAACTTTTTCCATGCATGTTACTAATTATTTGTATTTTGCTTTGATGCCATTTCCCAGCTATCAAATCAGATTCTTTTTCAGCCCAAATGCTTCTTCCAGACTTTTCAAGGCTTTATTCTTCTGCATTAATTTCCAGCTTGCTGGCACGTCAGCAGGTTTAGCAGCAAATTCTTTGGCAAACTGATCATTAAATGTAGCAAAGACATACTTCCAGTAGTCTGAGGCCTCAATGCTTGTGTCAGGCTGAATGCGCCAGTCAGGGAAAAACTTCCGGTAATCTTTGTATGGATGAAAATTCCATGACGTTTCTGGGCACTGGAATCGTCTTTCACTGGCAACGTTGGATGAGCACACATTAGTGACTAGTTTTTCAGATCGAAGTGATCTGTATTGTCCAGTACCTTGAGGTCGGTGAACGGATGCAAAGTGCTCTGAGTGATCCTTACCTCCTGCCTCACAGGGAGTTTTGCAGAATGGACACAGCTTTCCACAGCCAAACACCCTTCTGAACAGCTCATTCTCAGGCTTGAAGGGTAGGTCTGTCAGTACTGATTCCACATCCATTTGCTGTTCAATGTCAGCCCTCAGCTTCTCTCCCATTTCCTCCATGATGGATATAAGGCATCTAGAAAACTCCTCAGGAGCTGCATTGTTTAAGGCCATAAATTTATCCAGGGCAGTTTTGGGAATGACAAGTTCCTTTCCAAATTTTGTGCAGATGTCTTGAATGAACTGGCAAATATTCCTAATCTTTCCACCTCTGGCAGACGTTTCATCCCCAACAGTTTCTTTTATCTTCTTGATAATCTTGGTTTGGTGACCAACCATGATATTGCAAAGCCTGTTGTGATTTTTTGAGAAGTGCTCCACTATTTGCTGGAAAATCCAGTCTTTCACAAACTTCTCATACTGTTGAGTGTACTGAAGGAAATATTTAAAATCATTTTTCAAAAGCAGATCTTTGAGGACAGAGAATTGGAAAAAGGAGCGGGTGCTGAAGTCCATCGATTTCTCTCCTGTCAACATTTCATCCACAATATCTGGGCCAACAAACTTGGCAGCATATTCCTTGATGGCAGGAACAAGGCAGTAGGTGGCAAACTCTTCAGCCTTCTTCTGACACTGGTCTGTTTTATAAAACAGGTCCTTAAAGTCAGACCAGTACTGGTCCTTAAACTCCTCCAAGCATCGCCGAGGGTCATTTACTTCAATAAAATATTTGTGCATTTTCTGGAATTTCCTTGCTGCAATTCGACAGATGTGTATCTTCACAGAGACCTCAAATTTCTCACTCAATTGCAGATCCTTCTCACTCTCCAGAGTGTCATCTATCAAACGCAACAACTGTGTGGTGTAAGTGTCATGGTAATCTGATTTTGTTTTCACTTTTTCATTAATAAACTCCTGACTCTTCCAGATGACACGGTCTGCCAGTTCTTGTGCATTCCGCTTCTGCTCATCCCCAAAAACACGTTTGTAGGCCTTCTTTAAAATACCATCATCATGTTCTACTTTGAAAGGTTCTTTACCACAGTCATGCAAACAAACCTGGGACAGTATTTCATGCACATGACTTCCCTTTCTAGTCAAGTTTCCCCTTAATTGACGGTGAATGTCTTGACCAATATCCCGTCTCTGTAGGCCTGCAAAAGAAAGCTCTTTCACAGTGTCATCCCACATCTTTTTAAATTCCAACAGAAGCTGTTCAGGTGACATTTCAGTTTTGATTTCCCTGCATCTGTCAATCAGCTCTAGAACCTTCCGTTCCATGGTGTCTGTGTGCTTCTTTCTGACAGTGTCCAACTTGAGCATGCCCTTTTTGATTTCTATCGCTGCCTCTATTTTGTTTTTCACAGAATTCTGTGTCTCTCTTGTCAGGGTCTTGGCAGAGTTCACAAAATCCTCTCTGTACTTCTCCACCAAATAAATGTGGTTTTCTTTTCTTTTATAATATTCAGAAATGTTGTCCAAAATGATCTTCTCTTGCTTAGTGAGCTCCTCAGCTAACTCTGTTTTCAGCTCGCTCAGTAAATTCTCAGCAGTGCGTGAAGTCTCAGTCTCCACTTCCCCATGGTTCGACACTTTAGTCTCAGCTTGTGCCAGCCATGAGTACATGTGCTTCCTATAAGCCCACTCCCACTTGTTGAACGCTATACAAAGCTTAGAATAGGCATCTGCCACAAGGCTGTTGCGAAAGCTGAAGATGAAGTTCTCGTACTTCACTGCGTTCCATAAGCTCTTAGTCCATTTGAAGAATTCAGCAAATGTGTGTGTTGGGGTCCGGCACTCATTGAAGGAAGTAATGAGGCTTTTTTTGAAGTCGCTTACAGACTCACTGTAGCCTGCATTCACCGGAGCCATGGGAGGGTTACCATGCCAGAGTCCAGGGATGTACCAGTTATTCTTTTCTGGGTTGTATTCCATGATGTCTGTAAATGTTTTGTTGTCTTCCCTCTTTTCCATTTTGGCCGCCGTTTGGGTCATCTCATTCAGCTGCTCCAGAAGAAGCTTCCTGTCTCTGAGGTTTTTGTCATGGGCTGACACATCTGCGACGTTCTGGTGCACAAACTGGCAGCAAGGCTTCTTCCCCACTTCCTTCATGCGCAGAAAGGCATGAACAACAATCTGCAAGATATCTTTCATCTCTGTTGAGTTCTCCATGGCTATGTTGATGACTGTAATGTCACTCAGGCCTACCACTAGAGTGGCCAGCTCATTATCATGCTCATAACTTTCATCTAGTTGGGCCAACTCTGGCGATTTCGATCCTTCTGTGTCAATGATCATGACATAGTCACATCCAAGTTGCTCTCTGAAATCCTCCTTCACCCTGATAAGCAGCATGAATGCACCTCTCGTACACCGGCCACTGCTGACAGCAAACTGAACTCCAAACATGGTGTTCAGCAGAGTGGACTTCCCAGTGCTCTGGACCCCCAGCACTGTCACCACCCTGATCTTACTTTTCGAGCCTGTTAAATGGTTTAAATTATTCATCACAGCCGACACCCACCGAAGGGGAATGTTTGATGCATCCCCATCTACTAGCTCCAGTGGAAAACCATCCAGTAGCAGTTCAGCACACAGTCGCGGCAGCTTCTCCATCTGTTGTCGAGCCAGATCGTTTTCAGGAAGAGAGCTGGCAGATTCGTACAGCTGGCCCATCTCTCGCAGAAAGTGTTCAACCCCCAAAGAGCTGCTGGATATCTGCCTGTCCAATTTAGCAATGAGCTCCTTATCTTCAGGAGAGTTAAGGCACTTTTCCTTATACTTCTCTCGGAGGTGTGATAAGTTTGTACGTGATATGGTGTCCAAGTTGATCCTCATCCATTTGAGGAAATAGGGTCGGTCCTCTCTGGAATTTGAAATTGCATAAATAAAATGTGACATAGCAGCAGACATATCGAGAGCCACCTGCTGCTTCCTCAGGTTCTATGTCTCTATCCCCAGCTTTGGTCAGCCTGCATTGCTCCTTCTCTAGTTTAGTAAGTTCTTTCCAGATTTCTCCTTGCAAAGGAAGTTGTTTTTCCTTGAAATCAGGTATGTCAGTTATTCCTGATGTCATCATCTCCGCCATCTTCTTTCCATTTTGACACTGGGTGCAGTCTTCATCTACTGGGATTCCTAACTCATGTGCAGTAGCTGACATGTCTACAATATTCATTTTCAGTGGATTTTCCTTCAGTAGCTTACTCACAGTCATTCGCAGCTTGTTAACAAATTCCGCGTCATTCATTCCTGGGCGCTTCATGAGGATGTTCTTTGGCTGAAGCTGGAGCTTGGATATCTGTGCTTTAAAGTTCGCCACATTGAAGCTGCTGGCCTGTGAATTGCTGACTAAGAATAACTGAGACCTAATATGCTGTTCATGGAGCATCTCACACCCATGATTAAAGTCATCGCAGAACACAAAGACTGCTGCAGACGTTTGACACAGGAAAAAAAATTCAGTATAAAAGGAACTTATGTCTCCACGCAAGTTGGATACAGCAACAGGCTCAGGAAAGATGTCAATGTTTTCGTTCCCACAGGGCAGATACCAGCTAATTTCCACCAGGCCATTAGAAATCCTCCTTTTGGTATCACCACATGCCATGTTGTCATGAACAAAAGT